CCTAGTGCTACAATAGTGGCACCAGGAGCCACTATCCACAATGAGAGAACATGTTTTGTTAGAAACATTGCATCTAGTATGAAAAATGTTCTCTTGTTGAGATAGGGTACTACTAGATTGGTTGTTAAGGAGTCTCCTAATCAATGGAAGCTCTCCTTCATAAAGATAAGTCAACTCCAAATTATCCTCTTGTTCACTTGTTTCCTCCTTACTCTCACTTGAGGAGGTAGTAGTCTCTTCTTGACTACTATAAGTATCATGTCCCCCTAAGATCATGACTTTCTTTGTGGGGCATTGAGAAACAATGTAACCTCTCCCTAAACACTTGAAACATTTAATATCACTAGTGTTTATGCTAGTGTATGAGATGATTGTCCCTTTACCCTTATCCTTAACTAGTTCTTTGGAGGGTTCTAAAGTATTTTTTCTTTCAAAAGGTTTTCCCTCCCTCTTGTAATCTTCTTTTTAACCTAGCATATTTACTCCTTCTGTTTCTAACTTCTTTCACCAATTTCTCACTCATTTTATCTTTAATTACATTCGGTAAGAGATGAACAAGGCAATAATTTACGTCATCACATTAGTTCAATAGCCATTTTCCGGTTCAGGTAGCAATGAAAACAACTTAATTGGTCCAACTTTTTTAGTACGTTAGATATACATTCGCTGGAATGAAGATTTTTTTTTATTTTTTTTTATTTTATCATTACTGGATGATTCTTTTTTATTTATTTATTTATTTTTAATTTTTTATACATCATCATATATGATTTTGTTTTCATCGAAAGATCCGAGGCGGCAAATGAGATATTTAATCCAATAATTTGGCGATGTGGCTTTACTAACTACTCATCATTTGTCTTGTTAGCTAATTAAAGAAAATAAAATAATCATCAGTCACGACTTTCGTTTTTTCTTAAAAATGAAATGTTGTCAATCAAACAAAAACTACATATCAATTTCTTGGTCTATGTTCTCTTTAAATTTATCAGGCAGTAGTTGAAATGTTTTATTAAAATTGGCACTGAAGTTGCGAGAGTTGGTCATGGTAGTCACTAAACAAATTTTTTACCCCCTTAATAATTAAAAATATAATGGTCAAAATATTGTGAAGGTCAAAAATGATTATAGAAATAAGTATATTTTGTATATTAATATAGATATACTTAGTTTTAGTATTTTGTTACCGGAACTGGATGTTATTTTATTAATGAACTGTTTGGGTGTGGGGAGTGGTTTACCTTCTAAGCATCTATTATTGGCTTGAAAGTTGAAACATGTTCTCCATTTAAAAACTTCATCTGACACAAGCTAGTTGGATATGAATTATGGCTGTTTAAAAAAGTACATCCATAACTTTTATTTTAAACTGAAATTGCATTAACTGGTCATCTCATATTAGACATGAAAATTGATTCATGTAATATGCTAAGTTGTTAATATAAACCCTAAACCAAATTGTTTCCACGAAATATTGTCATCTTAGCTGCATTAATTAGAAGTCAAACCGAAGTACCAATGTTTTATATTAGCGACACAAAGAGTGTTAGGATTCAAACAAGTCCCACGTCGATAAAATAATACAACAAATAACAACTTATATAATACAAATATACTTCAATGATTGAGAGGCTTTTAGGTGATGACCAAAAGTAAAATCGTGAGGACTAAAGCCCAAAGCGGACAATATCTCATCATTGTAGAGTATGTTTGTGTAATAACCTTATAAAAATAACAACCCCATCAAAGAGTATGTTTGGTTTAAGAAAAAATAATAAAAGGAAAGGAAATGAAGAAAAGTGAAGAGAATAAAAATAAGAGAACAAAGAAAAAATAAATATTATTTAGGGTTGAAGAAATGTGTCATCTTTCTTGCATCTCTTCGTATCTTCACGTTTACAAAATCGTGAATGTATAATAATTTATACATATTTGTTACTTCTTCTCCCTATTTCATTCTCAACTCTGCGTTAAAAAGAATGTTAGTAATATAATTTTTTACATTTTAAATTTTTTTATTATTAATTAAAATTTATTAAAAATTATAAGATGTAAAAAAAAAAATCATCCTACAATAATTATAATTTTAGCATTTGTAAAATGTTCAAAAATGAATGTTGTCACTTTTCAATGCAGTGCTAATTATTATTTTTTCTAATATGTTCCTTAATAAATTATTCAATTAACACAATTAAAAATAATATACTTATTAAGAGGTTGAACTATTTTAGTAAAATTATCTTAAAAAGTGATATGTTTATTGTTATTTTTAATTTGTATACAAATTTTAAAATGTAATTATTGTCAGATAAAGAGAGTATTAATTATTTTAAAATAATCCTTTTTTTTTTCTTCTTTTTAATTAGTTGCTAGAGGTTGAGTCCAAAATCCAATCCAAATCCTCTATTTCACATTTTTATCTCTCCATTTTTATTTTATTAATAAAATATTTCTTCCATAATGCATTTTAATTATTCTAATTTATTTATTATTTCTTTTAAAAAAATGAATGTTATACTAGTATCGGTCATATACCTTATACTCCAATTCATTTGTACTTGATTTCATAGAGCTTCACATTTTGTATACTCCTCTCTTATCTTATCTTGCTTTTTCTTCCACCTAACGTAATCTACATTATATATGCATTTATGAAACATGCTTGTATACATATATATTTGGATTCATTCATTTCTTATATACATATATATATATATATATATATATATACACGTAATCTATTTGACTATGTGCAAGTACGGGTGCACACATAAACACACATATGTATAGAGGAAGATCCATTTATTTCAATAGTATATCTATATATATTTACTTTACTTAATAACTCTTGTTCTGCATTAAATTTTAACTATTAAACTATTGAATTAAAAATTTTTAATGCATAGATCAAGTTTACAAAATTTTAAAAAATTTGAAAATTATTTGAGATCTCATATCATTAATTCAAATTGACGGATAATTATAAAAATATTTTATATGTTGGTTTGAACGGAGTATCAAATAATTTTTAAATTTTGTAAATATTTACAAACTTGATCTATGCATTAAGAACTTTTAATCCAACGGTTGAATTGTTAAAATTGAATATAGAATATAAATTATGAAGTGGAACAAATCTAAATAGACTTACTCTTAGAATAAGTATGTCCCTCCTTTTATATATATATATATATATATATATATTAACTATCCAAAATAAATTAGTACTAATAATCCACTTAATCAATGTATTACTATTTAAATAATTATATTTAAGAGATTTCAAGATTAAAAACTATATTGTCATTATATATTTATTTTTCTTATTAAGATTTTTAATATAATGCTAGTATAAAAAATAGTGATTATTTCTTACGGGAAAATATAACTGAATAGTGAATATA